GGGGGCGTGGCATTGATATCGACCGCAGTGAGTGACAGACTGACCACAGCAGTGTAGCAGGAACAGGAACAGCAAGCTGAATACAGATTTGTAGTTTTCTACACGTTTACAAATCTGATAATGCTCGCATTCTGAACACACAGTTGCAGATTCCTGTACACATTCGCAAATGTCATTACATATTTACAAATCTGATTACGCACACACGGATTGAGATACATTTACACAACTCTCCACTCACATTTGTAAATAGTTTTGCTACAATAATAGCCCAATAGAGCAGATGTACACCCTCTTTAAACAGAGGGTGTAGATCTATAATCTCCTTTAATTTACTTTTCTTTCTCTCCCAGGAATCCTGTGTGTGGCTGATCAGTGCCACGGCCTGAGAGAACTGGCTCTCAACTATCATTTGCTGAGTGATGAACTTCTCATCGCTCTGTCCTCAGAGAAGCACGTTCACCTTGAGCACCTTCGCATCGACGTGATTAGCGAGAATCCTGGCCAACAGTTCCACTCCATCAAGAAGAGCAGCTGGGACGCCATGGTGCGCCACTCTCCTAAATTCAATCTGGTCATGTACTTTTTCCTTTATGAGGATGAGTTTGGCCCTTTCTTCCGCGATGAAATCCCCGTCACGCATCTGTACTTCGGCCGCTCTGTCAGTAAAGACGTGCTGGGCCGCGTTGGGCTCACCTGCCCGCGCCTGGTGGAGCTGGTGGTGTGCGCCAACGGGCTGCGACCGCTGGACGAAGAGCTGATCCGCATTGCCCAGCGCTGCACGCAGCTGTCAGCCATCGGCTTGGGAGAGTGCGAAGTGTCCTGCAGCGCTTTTGTGGAGTTTGTCAAGATGTGTGGAGACAGACTGACACAGCTATCCATCATGGAGGATGTACTGGTTCCAGATCACCGCTACGGGCTGGATGATATCCACTGGGAGGTGTCAAAGCATTTGGGTCGCGTGTGGTTCCCAGACATGATGCCAACCTGGTAGAAGAGAAGATTTAACTTGTGTCCAGGGTATTGTTAGACATATGCGTGCGTGTGTGTGTGTGTTGTGTGTGTGTGTGTGTGTGTGTGTCATGATTGGAGAGTTACGTTTTATTGGGCAAGCCCCTCATCTTTCTCCTGTTTTTGAGAAAGGCCCTGTCCCAGGCACTTTAAGTATTTTTTTTTTCTCCCAGAGTACGTAAAGAAATTACATTACTTTGGATTTTTGATTGTTTTGTTTTTTTTTGATTACAAATCCGCCATGTACACAATTTTTATATTTATATGTATATTTATATTTACATTTATTTGTCTTGTTGTCACTCATAACATGTAGCATCTTGTTCTCTGAGCCCTTTCTTAAGGGCTACCACCTTGCAGATTGGTCAGATGTTGTGTTTCGGGGGTGACACTTTTCCATGGGAATTAACAGTAATTTCTCGGAATTACTGGGAGTTATTTCACATACAAATGCATTTTATGCCATATTATGAGCGGGCATAAGTACAAATCCTTCTAATAGAAATCAGAAACCTTCCAGTTAAAGTTTAAATTCCAATGTAACTTGACAACCAGATACAATTAACAGAACAGAGAACCATCACCACACTGAAAGTAAAATGAGGTCTGATGGTGTGGAAATCTAGAAAAAGTCACAGTTATCACCATTATAAGCTAATATGTACTTAACTGTAACGGAAGGTTACAACCCAAGTGATGACGCATTGTGACTGTACAAAAATACACACTTCAAGCTTGTTATAGACTGGGTGGTTGATCACAAGACTAGAGTCGTGTAGGTAATAGCACATCAGGATTACACGTTGAATACATGTGTTTTTGTTCGGTTTTGGTCTCGTGTCCTCTGCTCCTGCCTCCTGTCATTGTGTCTCTGTGATGTCTTTGAATGTGTTTCTTAGTCACTGCATCTCATTGAAACATGGGACTGTCAATTTGTCTGTCCTCTAGTTTGATGGGGACAAAGCTAAAGACAGTTCCAGCTCCCTTTTCTTTCTAAGGACAGCTATTTGTGAAGGTAATGCTTTTGGTCATAATCATCATAGTCTGTATATACTATATAGATTGAAGATATTTTTGTGTGTAGTGTACAGTAGATTTCTGCATTGCCTGACCAATGTTCCTATTGTAATTGTAAATAAATAGTATGTTAAATTTGTCAAAAAATTGTGAGGGAAAATCACATCTCTGTACATTTACTGAATCCCACTGATGCACTTTTACGCTAATGGAGGATCCAAGTTTAGCCAAATGTCATTAGGGCATTAAAATAATTTAAAGTTAAACTTAAATTAAAGTAGTTTTTTGGCAATCTGTCAATAAAATGTTTATCCTTTAAACTACCAAGGTAATATGTTTCACCCTTGGTAGGTGAGGCTTTTTATGGAGTTATTTTCTGTTCTCAAACATTTTATATTCTAATGGAATTTGCAGATGCAGTTGGTTCACAATTGACACAGAATTCTGGGAAGTAATTAATAGTCTGTACAATCAATAGTTTACATAAGAAAGATATATTCTAGCTCAGCACTTGTAAAATATATTTTATAGGTAAATATAAATGCTGTTAAAGGTTTGTTACCACCAGCAATGTTTGTAAATGCAGCAGAGAACAAGCCCATATTTTCAATTATGATCAGCTGACGGACACACAAAATAGATATTTTCTATCTTCAAGAAAAATTGATTTTCTGTATGTGAATTTAGCTCAACCTTGTATGGTAACATAATTAAGGACTGAGGATTTATTTGTTAGTACAGGGCTGCACAATTATGACCAATGCTGTACTTTTTGCAATAAAGATTTTTACAACTCAAATTGATGGTGGTCCATTATATTTAGTTCTCGATCACGTACATCTATTGCATGAAAACATTGCCGCAGAAGCTCCTGTGCTTATTTGGACGGATGATTGGATCATTGCATCATCAATGTAACTGATAAAAATATAAAAATCATGATGTCAGTGAGGTAGTTGTGCAGCCCTGAAGACCAGACAGTGTGGCAGCTGAATGTTGATGTAACTGAATGTGTAAGATTGAAATATTCATGTCTCACTATTGTTG